GTAGCAGCCCTTCCCGGTACGTGTTGTGGTACGTGTAGCTCTCCCCGAAAGCCCCAGAACGTTGGGGGGCCCTATGGGCCGGGGAGCCTGACAAGCTCCTTTAACCCGAAGGAAGAAGAGAGAGAGAGAGAGAAAGAGAGACAGAGAGAGGAGAGTCCAAGGATGTTTGTCAGCAGTATATGATCTTGCTGCTTTGGTTGTCCCATGCCCTACGATATATTGCTCCACGAAGCAGGCTAACACAGCTCGAAAAGATGCAAAGGCCCCGTAAGCCGGAGATGAAGCTAGCTCCGCTGCCCCTACACTTGCGGAAACAAAGATCGACACAGAGAAGCCAGACAAAAAAAGATAATAGCTGCTCAGAAAGAACCTGCTGCTGCCTCAACAGATCCGGAGCATTGGCAAGCAAACGCTCGCGACTCTGACTGGGGGCAGCGTGGTCGCAGGTAATGTGCAGGCTCCGCAGGCCTCATGCATTCTTCGCTATGATGCTGCTGACCAGGAAAGTGCAAGATGATGGCGTTGAGGCGAACGTCAACTGCATCCAGGGATTGCTTTCGGAACTGGAGCCCTTAGTGACCAGAAGCGAGGCCGGACAAGTCGTGACGGCATAGGTTCATTCCTGCTCCCGATGCCCAGATTGCCAATCTTCTGGTTTGATTTCAGGTGCATGACGATTCTTGGATGATGCAGAAATCATGGATGTGCTGCAGCTCTGGTCGTGTCACTGAGCCTGACGCACCCGAAGAGAGATCGGCGGAGGATGCATCCTCAAGACAGACACGCAGGCCTGCCAAACTGGCACCCATTTCACAGTGCACTTCAGCTTTCATTGATTTGACAAAGTTTGATTGCCCTGATAAGCCAGCAGCAGCCTGTCCTTTGCCACAATAGCTTCCTGATGCTTACACAGAGCAATCGTTGTGGGGTTCCGTTCTGCATACTCACACTCCCTCCTTTGCATAGGGCCAAAAGCGTTTCGACGCTGTCGTAGAGGCGAGTCAGGCGAGTCCATGTTCTTAGACTGAGGCTGCTATTGACATCCGGCATTGACTGTGCTCTGTTGTGTTTGATGGTGCGTGGGTTGCGCCTAGTCTATCGTCAACTGATCTTCGAGGTCAAAAAGACTTGAGTTGGCAAATCTCATAGAAGTTGCTGGTCAGGTGTGCCGCCTGTGTACGCTCAAGCTCTGCAGGCTCTTCGCTGCTTGCAGCCGCAAGTCTTGAGGTTTGCATCATTGGAAGAGGTTCATCCACGAATCTACTCTCATGGCCAAGGGTGGCATAGGGTCTAGGGTCCAAACAGCCACTTGCTTCAGCCCTCAACCCGAACCCGTTCCGCTCGCACGGAAGCAAGCTAGGTCTGGCTGTTTTGTTGCAAAGTTGTCTTGCTTCGGGCTTGCGTCAGGCGCAGAGACTTCGTGCCCTGCAGCTCGCCTGTAGCGCGAGGACACTTGGAATAGTCAGGCCCATCGCAGCGTCGGTGCTGCCCGCTTTACTCGAATGCAGGCCGGCGTCGCACTGGAGGTTGGAGTGCTGTGATTCCACGCTTTCCGATGCTCCGTGGGCTGCAACACTTTGCAGGCACAATGCAACATCACCCAAGTGCTCCTTCATGAGCGAAGTATGGAGATAATGTTGTCAAATATTTTTTACTACAACCGAAGGCATAGAGCAAGGGGACACAAGATCCGATGTTGACTCGAGCCTTTCTCGCTTTAATTACTTGTGCAAGTTGTTTTGCCTGGAACGATGGCGAACCTGCGTGCTGAAAGCAAAGTCAGCCAGCACTGCCTTGCTGAGACAGGACATGCGCGCACTCATTCTACGCGGTCGACGTGCAATTACACTATACCACACTCAGTCCCGGAAAGGGGGGGTCTTTTGTTCTCGGCAAGTCAAAACCTGGCTGAGGCGCAGACGTCTTCGTTCCTTTTGTAAATTGCCGCTCGTGCAGAGTACAGAGCTGTGCGTAGGCCCAGTGACTCGTGCTTCCAAAGCCGATCCTGCACCCCGAAGTTCCCAAAAAAGACCATCGAATGTCAGGGACCACCGTGAGATCGCCATGCTGCATGCTCCGTGCGCTTTGCGTTCAGGCTTGCAGTTGCTTACATGAATGTATATATACATGAGATGGAAACGATGGCCAGGGGGGCAGAGCTTTGCAAATGCAGCCCCATTCAATGCATCCAGCCGGTCCTGCGCCTTCCTGCTGCACAACGCCATTCAAACACAATGACAAAACGACATGGTTTGACATGGCCCGGTCATCACGAAATCCGGAGCACTCGCGCTTACAACATGCATGGCCGGTAAGAGCGCCGTTTCAGACCACGTAGTCAACATGAGGCCCTGCACATGACATTTCTCGTGTCGTGAACGCCATGGCGAGCCGCTTGAGCTGCCGACGATCAACTATCGGCCCCGACCTTACTCCGATTCTGGCCTTTTGTGGAACCGGAGTCTTGCAGGGTGGATTGCATCAGCTCAGGCCCGAGGCACTCGCTGCTGCTGAGACCATCAGAAGAGGTTCCAACTGAGCTTCGCGGATTACCAGAAGATTTGAGCAGGTCGCTGACTGAACATGCCAGCCTAAACCGACACCGGACCTAACTGCCGTCAGCATGAAACTATGAAACCCTAGGCGCATTGCCGCAGCAACGTCGGAGTCCGAGCTTCGAGACGTCGCGGGCGAAGTGCATCGGAGCCAATGTTAGCGAATACTGTTCTTCTGCCAGTGTAGTAAGGCTGAGGGAAGGCCTAAACCAGTGAACCTGTGGAGCCTGTGCGTGAGAAAGCTCAACCACACTTCCGGCACGAAACGCAGCCAAGCCCGAACACGCGCAGTAAATGGCCGGACTTATCTGGGAATACCTGAACCTTCAGTTCTGCTAGGCTGCAACCGGCTTCAACTAGGTCTAGGTGCCTGCACATTCCGCTGCACGAGCTCAGGTTGTGGAGGAAGCACTCTTACTGTTGGCACCTGCAGCTGCAAGAAGGTGCGCCTTTTTCAGTAGCCCCGAAGAGCTGCTTCCAAGGATCATCGCGGTTTAATCAAAGACTTGGACAAGATTTGGCCGACAACTCGCGCCTGCAAGCAACTGGGCACCTCCGAAGTCTTGACCCTCACATCCGCGATCAAGATGTCCTTAGCCTCCACCCTGCGGGACACAGCTCAGCGCGGGGCCATGCCACGTCGGAAGGTCTTGGTGCCTGGATATACTTCGTCAGCATTTCGAGTTTGCTTTTTTTTGTATTTGCAGCATCAAAGCGCCACCCTCGCGAGGATTCCGAATCTAAGGCATTGTTCAACTTCCTTGCAGAGCTCTGTTGGGCCAACTATATGTGCCCATCCGAGCACGCAATTCAGAAGGCAATGCATTGCCTGCTGGACACGGCCTGGGCTCTTACCGAATGTGGCAACTCTGAGCCGGCTGGGTGGTACTCAGATCCAACAAGAAGATGAAGAAGTCCTAGCTTCAGGGGTTCCTTTTGGAGCTGAGCTTACAGGCGTTGTGGTGCTAGCAAGCGTGCAAGTCTGCAATGCGTGCCAATTGTGCAACCCAGTCTGGAGCCCAAGGTATGTGGAGTCTTGTGCATATTTTCTGGCTCGCGTGGGGGAAATCATCATGCTCAATCCTCTCGAGGTTTTCAACGTCTTAGATCCACTGTCGGCGAGTGCCCTCCATGCACGCTTTAGTCCTTGTAGGTTGCAGTGTGCCGGCCCTGGCAACAGCATGCGAGACAACATTGCAAACAGGCCTAGCTCAAGCCGAAGAGACCCTTCGAAAAGCTGCTGTCCTCAGGACTCGCATCTTTGGCCCGGCAGCTGCCTCGCCGAACAAAGTCCTTTGTTTGGCTGCTTCTCCGCCGTCGAGAAATGATGTGGTGACTTTCCTCAAAAGTCATGCTTTCCCCGCCCTTCGGAAGAAGTGCAGACGTGCTGGAAGCAATGCTGACTGTTGGGCGGAGTGCGAAAGGAAGGGAAAGATCAGTTTAAACGGAGCCGTATTCCTGGGTGTACCTATGGAAGCTACCACCTAATTTCAGATATTTCGGGAGCATTGGCATCGTCAGGGCTGCCTATCCGCAGAAACAACAACCATGACATTCACCAAGGTGCTGAAATCTATGTGCATGGACATGTGTGGCATGTTTGTTTGCTTTGTTGTTCGTTTTGTCTATCTTTGTGCATAGATGTGCTTGTATTGCTTGTTTGTTTGTATCTCTGTGTGGGTGGGTGGGTGGGTG